TGTTAGTGATTTTAGACGTTAGCTGAAAAGGTCAAGTTAGCCTTAATTTAATCGAAAAATCACCCACACACCCATCCCTCGCGGCAGCAACGAAGGTGAAGCAATTAAAAAAGCTACATCTGTGGTTAATCTAGGCATGAAGTCTATTTTGCAGACTCCCTAGTTGGAATACACCGGTGACTGACCTGGATTTTAGGTGTGATTAAAGGTAGCCAATGAAAGCACGACTTCTTGGTGGATAGTGTGAGCGAGGAAGCTTGTATGAACTGGTACAGACTGTTCACGAGTGCTCAACAAACACGTACGCGTGAGCCCAGGGAAGAATCATGTTTCACAAGCGAGTCAACGGTTGTGTCCACTTCATCACCATCGTTGTTCTGAACCCTTTAGGTGTGACTGTAAAATTGGGTTGTGGTGTGGCTTATCGCTGCTACTAACTGGTAGCAATGACGTGATACAATCAACCACAGTCCTCAGCAAGTCATACACACTGAGGCGGATCCGTCGTTGAGAGTGGTTAATTCAACTTCTGTAGGACCTTCCTAAGTGTTTGAAAGCTGGAGAGTTGACCGTCGGAACGCACAGTAGGAAAGCCTGAAGTGAATCGTGTTGACTCATGTTGACTACTCCGGTCTTGCCGTCTCCGACACTGTCTCCCTTTTTACACGGAACAGACTGCTCACACACCCTGTGCATGTACCACCCCCGCAATCCGCCCCGCTCACCTGATCATTTGCACATTTTCATCCAAACCACATTGGTCCACAACTTCCTTAGTTATGCATGAACCTATGTACACATACGCGACAAATCGGTGACCTCAACAACTCTAGGAGGCTCTTGCTATCGATTAAGAGCTTTCAGCATCTTTTTGATGGCTTGAGGTAAGTTATTTTGCCAATTAGTAGAATCTGGTAAACGCGTCGCAAAGTTATTGGCCGAATTTACTTGATAAAATATTGCAAAATATTGATAATCGATCCAGTATCTGATAACTGAATCAGCACGGCCGTAGGCTAGTCTGTTTCCCATTCGTTTCTGGCAATTCCGATTATTGATTCACTGCAATAGTGCACGTCCAAGCACATGTTTTTTTTGTGAAAAAATTAGACAACAGTGAGACTTTTCGATGGAACTTTTCACTAAGAATAACCGCGGTATCATGTTGTCATTTGTGTAGGCATAACTGCTTCCGCTAATCAACCTTCCACGGCAAATTTTAATTGCTTAATCCTAAACAATCATTATGACGACAATAAATAGAGAAGTCCTTACCGCTATTGGCCATTTTGAATAGTGTTCCAATAAAATCAGTGTAGTAAAACAATAGTTTATTCGGAAATAACATGACAAATCTTACCATTACCATTGAGCGTCAAGTTTAACAGAATTCTGACAGAATTTGTGTTGTTTAAGAAACATTTCTGAAATTGCCTGGGTTCATAATCGATACACTTGCTCCCTCCAGGTTACACGACACTAAAAATCACATGATTTGCAGACGGCATTGCAGGCAGGCAACTGACCAATCCGGTTCGCCAAATCTCAGCACCAAGTTAACCTACGTAATGTCGTGCGCGTGCATGTGTGTGTGTGTGCGCGTGTGTGTGATAGTGAATCTACTAAAGACATGAAAATCCGTCATTTGCTAGGCTTGATAACCCTGCTCAAGTGATGCCGACTTACACCAAAGAGGAGCGTTATGCTCTTCTTAAAAAATTCAACGACATGGACACTAACGGCGACGGTTCACTATCGATTGATGAAATTAAACAATGCTGCAAGGCATCCGGCCTCTCGCCCAGCAAAGTAAAAGTAAGAAGCATATTTTGCCGTTTTTTACATAATTTTGGCAAAAAATATTTCCAATTTACTGTTATATGCCTGTTTGCCTAGTTTAAGATGTTGATCCACTCTAAACTAACCACGATCAACCGATATAAGACTCTTGTTAGGCCCCAAGAGACGAAATTCCCTGGCAGTCCAGAAACCTCCTCACTGAAATTTACTCAATTTCCTTGCAACGAGATCGTTGTTTGAGTTATAGAAAGAAATTGTTGCAGCTATCGCCAATGTGATATTGTCGTTTCTACTCCCTGTCTGTAAGCAAACATTTAGTGAAAACTATGTCTGTTACAATCACGATTTCTGCAAAAGTAAATCTTCGTAAACCACTACATTAGCGAAGTGAGTAGACTTATTAAATGGGTTCGCATTTTGAAGATACAAGTCGATCCCTTTTAACGCATTTTCGACTGTCTACAAGGCCACGATTTTAGTGGTTTCAAAATCCCCTAATCACTGCCAACTAGGCCCTTTCACCAAAAAAGTGCATTCGTTAATTTGTGGTTCTTGCTTATGCGCTGCCGCGTTGACAGTTGATGTGTTTTTTTAAACCAAGGAATTTATAAGTCTCTTTGATGAAGACGGCGACAGCCGAGTTACACTGGATGAATACGAAAAAGCCCTGGGGCTGAAGGAAGTGCCCCCAGCTTCGTAAGTTCAAATTTTGTCTTTTGATGTGTTTCGCGACCCCTAATTACGGCAAAGTTTTGAAAAAATTGGAATTTGCTAACTCACACACGTACCGTCAATGACTAACGCCATTCTCCTGCGACGTGCTACTAAAATTTGTTCAGTAGTGTGTCTGTTTTGGCTTTTCAGGAGAGCCGAATGGGAGGCTGCTTTCAAGGAGATGGACAAGGACAACTCGGGCAAACTGACGGTCGACGAGTTGTACGAGGGCCTGCGCAAGGCTGGCAACAACATCTCCAAGGACGACGTGATAAAGATTGTTTCGTCAGTTGATGATGACGGTGACAGGAGCCTGACTATGAAAGAATTCATTGCCCTAATGAGGGTGTGATCTTGATCCCAGGTTAAAAAAACCGTTGTCTCCCCCTTTTCATATACTCTATTTTTTGGTGTTTCCTTTGAGACATATTATATGGTGTAGTCAGTACTTGTAACTTTTTTAAAAGAAAGGCAGAAATCCCCTTTAGGGGATTGGTGTAAATAGCGACGAAAATTGCGTAGTGTGGTGTGGCGTCGGATTAGGGCGCAGACATGTTGGACCACCTGGCCTCAGCCAATCCTGTGTCTCTCTGTAATCCAA